TTTTTTTTTTTTTTTTTTTTTTTTCTATTATTATTATATTCTGTGTGACTTTTAGAACACTCACAATACTCGAAGGCTCGTTAAGTTTGTAAATGCATCATCGGCGATCGTATGCAAACGATTTCGTCGAAGTAATCTGCAAAAAAAAATGCGAAAACTATTTGTTAAGAAAGAAGAGAAACAAGGAATATTACGATAAAAATAATAGAAATATTATTGATTTTTTTCTTTCTGATACTTACAACACTTCAAGATTGAAAATTCGGTTGAAGGCACGGGCTGGAATGTCTGTTATGTTGTTACTCGTTAAATCTCTGCAACAATTCAAAAGCAAAATTATACTGTAAATGAACAAAATAATCATATGAAATCATTTTATTTTCATAATATATATTGTTACGTATATAAATCAAAATGAGAAGTTTACAATTGGATATAAATTTTTTCCTTATAAATAATGAATGAATGTTTATTTACAAGAGAATTAAAAATTAATTAACAGAATCAAATTAATTTTATTTAGTTCGATTATTTAATTCTTGGTCTTTTTTCTTGCTGCTTATATTCGAGTCATACAGATCCAACATAATCGAAATAATCCTGTATGAACACTAGATAATATGAACGATAAAAAAACAAATGAATTAGTTCAAGAATTGTTCCTAAGCAGCCTAGGGAGACGATTTTATTTTAAAGTGAAAAAAAAGAAAGGAACATAAGATAAGAAAAAGAAAATGAAAGAGAGAAAATGGAAGAGAACGAGAAAAATTTTCAAACGAGCGAACCATCGTTAAATGTTACCGACATGTCCTCCATGTTTAGTTGTCTTCCCAATTTCACACTCAACTCACGAGACACGATCAGATGCGGCGAGTTTACGACGGACCGATTCTACTTGGATGCATTTCTTTCTTTATACAGTTTGTCCTAAAAATGTAGAAACATCCGTTAACTGGAGATTTCTGAATTAATTTTTTCAAGAAACATTTTCCTTTATAAAAACTTTTGTTACGTTTTTTTTAACGAATTATTAACAAAAAACATTGGCCAATCACGAAGCACGTAACCTGTCAATCCACGATAGTTTGTTCAACGTGCAGTTGAACAAATTCAAGCAACGTGTATCGAAGAAAATGTGTTGAATATTACAGTTTGTTCATTGTTCGTGATATAATTCGATAATTTTTTTGGATAAAAAAATATTTGTCATATTCAATTTACTTTCTTCGATATATGTTGCTTGGATTTGTTCTCTATTCGATCTACTCGATCGACAGCACGTAACCAACGTTATCCTGGACTAAGCTACGTGCTTCGTGATTGGTCAATATTTTTTGTTACTATCTCGTTAAAAAAACCGTAACAAAAGGAAAATATTGCTTGAAATTATTTCAGAAATCTTCAGTTAATGGATATTCTATATTTTTGAGACATTTTGTATATATATATATATATATATCGAATATAATTTTTTTCAAAATTTCATCGATCTATTTATCGCCGATTTATTAACTCATATCCTTATATCGTAAATTCTTATATATATTATTTCATTCAATTTATAATACTACAATTCGATACGATAATATTACAATTAAGATGTTCGGTTTACAAATATCTAAAAATTGAAAAAATGATATAAAATGGAAAGTTTGTAAAATTTTCTGTGCACTTACGTTTAATTTATTTTTCTTAACAAAAAGAAATAAGAAAGAAATAAACTTTCTCTCGTAAAAGGTAAATCTGGAAAATTTTCGATTGTCGTTTTAAATATCCATCCATTTTTATCTTATGGCAATAAAGTGATTTTCCAGTTGATGGTAGGCATATTATCCTCGATATAGTACCAATTACGCGCTGGTTACCCCTTAATGGCCCCATAAATTCGCCGATATCGAGCACCCAGCCACTTGAACACTACGAATATAGAATAAACTTGTTCGAGTGTTGCGCTTGTTTAAATCGCACACGCGAAACTTGACATTTTTAAACATAGCAGTCTAAGTTCTAGAAATATATTAAGCGTCTTGTAGAAGTAAGCATTCTAAAAGCATTCTAAACCAGTCCATAAATTCAAATTGAAATTAGCTAAATTTAGTTTACTTTATTTTCTCTTTTTTTGTAATCCTAATCGATCAAACGTAAAGCGTTTTAATTCGATCTAGTAAATCGATTCGAAAATAAAAATTCGAAATCACTTTCTCAGGTAGTATAGCGTCATTGGTGAATTCTCGTTTGAAGAATCGTTTTCTAGGCCACACTCAAACCGTCATCGTCCAAATATCGTTCTGGCATGCATAAATATCGAGTTTCGATATGAGTGCGGTTACGATTCATTGAATAAAAAAGTCCTTGGCTAATTTCGGAAGTCGCGCTCGCTTGATTAGCATAAAGATCCGATAAAGCGATTTCGCTTGATTTTTCGTGTTCTAACATAGATTCGATGGTGCATAATAATGCATAATAATATTTAAGATATTTTTAACATTTTTAACATGATTTGAAACAGGAAAAATAAAAATATTTTGGTAGATATTTTTTTGAATAAATTCGTTAAAATCATTTACCAGAACAATTTATTGTATTTGTATCCATTTCTATTCTTCGAATTGGAGAACATTTATCCTTATTTTTCGAAAATCGCTACAATATCACTTCCGTTCTCCTTTGAAGATTTCTTCTTAACTAAAAGAATTCGTCTCGATACAAACGTAGTTTTACATTATTCATACAATGTCTCGGATCTAATATAAAATTTTATTCTAACTTTATTCTTTTCATATTTTTATACCAGCCTTTCTCGACAAACGAATACGCACGCGAATATTCGTTTTACGAGTTAAAATTCACAAAATTGAATATTTTTGTCGCATAATGTATGTAATTTTAACAAATAATGTGTTTTCTTCGATAAAATTTTCGGTATCGGTGGATGCGCGTGCGTAAACTCACTCGATCAATGTATGGATACAATGTACGGGCCACACGGAAATCTCATGGAACAATGAAACTTGTTCAAGGTATTCACGATATGTTTTTCCAGCATTCGTTCTTTCTCTTAAGTTTTCTCGAGATAGTAAAATAGTAAAAAAAGCCTTTTTTATTTACAGCAAAAATTTCTCCATCAACTAAAAGAGTTATTTCATCTTTGTATAGTTATCCTTAAAAAAGCAACTCAAGATGTTTCGATTACATGTTCTCTTCGAATGATAATTGGGCACGTGGAACGTCCATTCGTTCCTATAATCAGAATCAATTAATCAATCTGTTGATTTTCTTTATCCGACCTGTTTCACATCTCAACAAATAAAATCGACGCAGAAGAAAAAGAA